GGCCTACTGCTGGTTCGCCTGCAGGGCGGCCCGCTGGAGCTCGACGTCGGCGCCACGAAGGTTGGTGCCGTTGTCCGACTAGATTACGGAGGATTGCCCTCGGCGCGCCAGCATACGGCAGAGTCGGTGGAGAGCGAGGCCGCGACCTCTAGGTGCACGGCTCTGGTGGTGAGGCATGTGAACAGCGCCACATACCGCTTCTGATGCTGTCGGCCCACGGTGACGGAGAGCGGCCCGAAATATTCAAGACCGGTGTACGTGATGGGCCTCTGATGGTGAGCGAGGCGTCCCGTCGGATAGTCGCCTGTCGGCGGTACTGCGGCCACCCCACGTCGAATTGCACTGCTGACAGCTCTTGATCTCGCTGCGCACGATCTGACGGGCTCTTATCACCCAGAAGCTTTGTCGAATTTTTGTTAGGTCGAGACTGGGATGCTCGTATAGGAACCGTCTGAAATAAAGGCTCCATCAGGAGTCTCACATTTGTTTATTACATAAAAAGGTGGAAGTGTTTCTCCTACATCTTATATTGTGTGAAGTCCCAAAAGGTTTTTTATTAACACAGATTTAAATAAATTTTGAAAGAAGGGATTGGGACAGTCGTTTCTATGGTTCAAAGCTCTTATAGGTATTCTTGCTTTTAAGTTCTTGATTTAAATTGCGAGGATGAAATAAATGCACCCAATACACATCAAAAATGAAACTTTTGAGGACGATGATCCAGTTCTTTAAGCTCGGTACATTATTTTTGTTGTTCGTATTAGGCTCATCCAAATAAAAGAACGAATTGCCTCCTGTCGCCACTTGGGCATCTGGGGCTCTTCGGAGTCGGAGCCGGAGCCAGCACCGGGCTCCGTTTACGGCTCCAGAATTTAGCCTGTGGAGAAAGTTGGACCTGTAGGCCTAAGACGTCGACAACGACATGATAAGACACTATTCGACAACGCAGGAAATATTGTTTTCTCAAACAAATGTGACCCGCAAATGGAAATTCTATTGACAGGGTTAACAACTTTTTTTTTTCCTTTTTTCTTTTTAATATTAAACCAGCCAGTATTAAACAGTCTGGAAGCTTCCCCTTTTTATTCGTCGTGATACGGCCGATGAGTCGGACTCGAAATCGAGCCGTCTCAGCGTAGTCCGCGGTTCCCGGAGCTGCGTGGTCTTGAGCAGCTGTTCTCCTTTCACTGTAGCGACCTCTGTCGCTGGCTGTACAGTGCACTGCACTGCACTGAGTGCAGGAGACTGAAACTTCCCAAACGGAATTTGGAGCTGTATTTTAGCATTGCGGCAGTTTTTTCACTCAATTGAACAATTCTTGAGTGCAGTAACTTCAACAACGACTTGATAAGATGAGACACTATTCGACGACGCCGCAGGAAATATTGTTTTCTCAAACAAATGTGACCCGCGAATGTAAAGTCCATTGACAGTGTTGACAACTTTTTTTCCTTTTTTTCTTTTTAATATTAAACCAGCCAGTATTAAACGGTCTGGAAGCTTCCCCTTTTCAACCGACTTCAAAAAAAAGGAGGAGGTTCTCAATTTTTTTTTTTTTCTATGTTTGTTACGCGATAACTCCGCCAATTATGAACCGATTTAAAAAAATCTTTTTTCGGCGTATAGGTAATACCTCAAGGGTGGTCCCATTTAAATTTAATAATAGAAAAAACAACCCCCAAGGGTGGAAAATTGGGGATGAACTTTTTTATACGCAATATCTCCGCCGATTATAAATCAATTTGAACGATTATTTTTTTGTTGAATAGGTATTATCAAAAGGGTGGTTTCATGCGAATTTGAAGAAAATATTTCACCCCCAAGGGTGGAAAATTGGGGATGAACTTTTTTATACGCAATATTTTTAATTTTTAGTTTTTTTTTTGTGTTCACGCATTTGAAGTCGGTTTTATTTTTTTAAAAAGTTAATTATTATTGGAGCTGCATGGTCTTGAACAGCTGTTCTCCTTTCACTGTAGCGACCTCTGTCGCTTTCTGTACAGTGCGGGAGACTGTGAAACTTTCCAAACGAGGGAGAATTTGACGCTGTATCTTAGCATTGCGGCAGTTTTTTCACTCGATACTTGAGTGCAGTAACTTCACGCTCATTTTCTTGATCTTCTCTGAAATCATGCGCTCGTCTGTCAATTTGTGCAGCATCCATCCATTCGGATTGCGAAAACATTCGTCTTCAACCTAAATTAAAAATATGATGGTAATTGAAAAAATAATTTGAATTTTTGAACTTGGGAGTGCCTACTTCCGTGACGTCACTTATTAAGCACGCTTGAAACGTTGAATCCTGGTCGCATACCTGGGCTTTAGGTCTCAAGCCAATGTCATTGATTGCTTTGATTGTCTATGATCCGACAACTCCTCGGACCGTTAAAACACAATCTTTTGCTTGACTCGCCAAAATCGACAAAACCGTCGACCCTATCCTCTGACTCCACAAATGTTAATTGAGAAGTCAAAGCCACTTCATCAAATACTATTGAACATAAATAACATAGTCTCTTCTTTTCATCCCACGAAGTGATATGAGTTTGAAGTTGCTGGAGTGAATTGTCGTTTAATCAAGACTGCCTTTACATTCTGTGCGAAACAAATGTTTCCATCGTATGTATTTCGTGATAATAGCAGTTCGTTCGTTCGTTCAAATGAATTAGTTGATTTTAATCCAGTAATTTCATTTTATTCTTGGCATAAATATCTGACTGCTTGCTTCGGAAGCCGATATCTTTTCTTAAATTCAGCCTCTGGAAGAGCTCTTAGGTCGTTGATAAAGTACGGGCTATAAGCATCAACCACTGCACATGCCTGGTTGGTACTCAAATAATTTTTTTCAGTCTTCTAGCTACATAGCTGGCTGTAAAAGCTGACATGAACTTGCTTGAAGCAAGCTTCCCATTAACAAATTTTTGTTAAGTCGAGACTGGGATGCTCGTATAGGAACCGTCTGAAATAAAGGCTCCATCAGGAGTCTCACATTTGTTTATTACATAAAAAAGTGGAAGTGTTTCTCCTACATCTTATATTGTGAGAAGTCCCAAAAGGTTTTTTATTAACAAAGATTTAAATGAATTTTGAAAGAAGGGATTGGGACAGTCGTTTCTATGGTTCAAAGCTCTTATATTCTTGATTTTAAGTTCTTGAATGGATCTTGATTTAATTTGCGAGGATGAAATAAATGCACCCAACACACATCAAACCAAATTGAAATGAAACTTTTGAGGACGATGATCCAGTTCTTTAAGCTCGGTACATTCTTTTTGTTGTTCGTATTAGGCTAAGCAAAATAAATATTATTTAGTCGTCGTTTATACGTCGTCGGGGTCCACTGAGATATGGGTCAGTGGTCGGCTGTTGACGGTGTACTCCGCCTCGCAGAGCAGAGTGGCGAGCGTCTCTTCGTGGGGGTGACGCTCGCGCAGGACGGTGCTGAGGGCGTCCTTGACGGAGCGGACGAGGCGTTCCCACGCCCCGTCCTTGAACGGTGCGCTCGGAGGGATGTAGCGCCATTGGATGAGGTGGTTGGCGGCCTACTGCTGGTTCGCCTGCAGGGCGGCCCGCTGGAGCTCGACGTCGGCGCCACGAAGGTTGGTGCCGTTGTCCGACTAGATTACGGAGGATTGCCCTCGGCGCGCCAGCATACGGCAGAGTCGGTGGAGAGCGAGGCCGCGACCTCTAGGTGCACGGCTCTGGTGGTGAGGCATGTGAACAGCGCCACATACCGCTTCTGATGCTGTCGGCCCACGGTGACGGAGAGCGGCCTGAAATATTCAAGACCGGTGTACGTGATGGGCCTCTGATGGTGAGCGAGGCGTCCCGTCGGATAGTCGCCTGTCGGCGGTACTGCGGCCACCCCACGTCGAATTGCACTGCTGACAGCTCTTGATCTCGCTGCGCACGATCTGACGGGCTCTTATCACCCAGAAGCTTTGTCGAATTTTTGTTAGGTCGAGACTGGGATGCTCGTATAGGAACCGTCTGAAATAAAGGCTCCATCAGGAGTCTCACATTTGTTTATTACATAAAAAGGTGGAAGTGTTTCTCCTACATCTTATATTGTGTGAAGTCCCAAAAGGTTTTTTATTAACACAGATTTAAATAAATTTTGAAAGAAGGGATTGGGACAGTCGTTTCTATGGTTCAAAGCTCTTATAGGTATTCTTGCTTTTAAGTTCTTGATTTAAATTGCGAGGATGAAATAAATGCACCCAATACACATCAAAAATGAAACTTTTGAGGACGATGATCCAGTTCTTTAAGCTCGGTACATTATTTTTGTTGTTCGTATTAGGCTCATCCAAATAAAAGAACGAATTGCCTCCTGTCGCCACTTGGGCATCTGGGGCTCTTCGGAGTCGGAGCCGGAGCCAGCACCGGGCTCCGTTTACGGCTCCAGAATTTAGCCTGTGGAGAAAGTTGGACCTGTAGGCCTAAGACGTCGACAACGACATGATAAGACACTATTCGACAACGCAGGAAATATTGTTTTCTCAAACAAATGTGACCCGCAAATGGAAATTCTATTGACAGGGTTAACAACTTTTTTTTTTCCTTTTTTCTTTTTAATATTAAACCAGCCAGTATTAAACAGTCTGGAAGCTTCCCCTTTTTATTCGTCGTGATACGGCCGATGAGTCGGACTCGAAATCGAGCCGTCTCAGCGTAGTCCGCGGTTCCCGGAGCTGCGTGGTCTTGAGCANCCCGAAATATTCAAGACCGGTGTACGTGATGGGCCTCTGATGGTGAGCGAGGCGTCCCGTCGGGTGGTCGCCTGTCGGTGGTACTGCGGCCACCGCACGTCGAATTCTGCACTGCTGACAGCTCTTGATCACGCTGCGCACGATGGGACGGGCTCTTATCACCCAGAAGCGTTGTCGAATCTCGTTCAGGACTGTCTCCACGCTGCCATGATGCAACTTCTGGTGCGTCCATGCCACGTAGAGTTTGGTGTACTGGTGGTTTCCATCCAGCACAATTGGATGCTTCTTGTTCTGTCACGTTTTCTGCGGCCGTGATCCTCGATTTCAATTTGATCACAGGCTCGCACGGATCGAAGGCCAGCGCGAGAGAGCGCAGCCGGCTGTCGTTGGTCTTCTTTATTCAAGGCTTCTAACTCGGCGCTGAACGATTCTTGTTGCACGGCGCGCACTCACAGCTCCTCCGCCCACACAATGTAGTAGGGAATTTAGTGCAATGATTTGTATGGAGACCCCTCCACTTTGGTATAGAAGGCTCATTTTTGCAACNGCTCCTGAATCGAATGTACCTACTACTTACTACTATTTCTATTTATTTATATTAACCGGCAGACAGTGGTGACTGAGTTTGTTGCGGCGCTTCTTCTCAGCACTTGCCAAATGTTGGTCTCGAAGCGCTGGTAGGGCAAAAAGATTATGAGACATGTAGAGGCTCCTTAAGAGCAAAATGACGATTTGCAAGAACTATTTATTAGTCCAAACAAATAAAGAAATTTTGACTTTTTTTTTTTTATCTCAGTCAGATTTATAGCAATACAATCGCGATAATTTCACAAAAGAGTATAAAGCTTATCTAACTAACCAGAACATGTCGGAACTAAGTCCGGGCTTAGTCATAATATCAGCTCTATCGAGAGTATCCATACCTCAGCTATGGATACTCTCGATACAATTCGATTTACATGACATATTGGACATGCTCCAAAAAGCATTGAAGTAGCTATTAAAATATTTGCTTTAAGTATAAATAATAATAATAATAAATTATTTATTTTCTCCCATACAAAACAAGCTTAATACTAACATTAATAAATACTTATGTATATTTATACATAGTTATGCTATAATGTTGTATATGGGAGNTGCACCTTATAACCCCAGACGTCAGGCCATCCCAGCCCGGAGAGCAATCAGATTTCAGTGCCAATATTATACTCTCAACTTCGCTCAAAGTTGTTTCGTACAGGGCAAAGGAGTCTTTAGGACCTGCAGAACATAAAGGTAGAGGAGCTATGTTTTTAGGGATTTTATTATACAGTTCTGATCCAATAGTTGCAAAAAAGGTATTGATATTATTCAACGTTTGAAGATTGTTCTCACTGTTAGCCAGCAGTTCATCGTTTGAATGATTCTTATTACGTAGATTAGCTTAATAGTATATAGCAATATTCTTAATAGTATTCTCAATCTAGCATGCATACGATCCCTGTTCCTAATACATTTGACCAGACCAGGTGTTAGCCATGGTTTTAGAGGCGCACGTGTTCTAGATATTTTAATTTGGACTGTGTTTCGAGAAACTAAACTTTGTAAGCTGATGATCAATTTTTCAGTGGCACAATCAATATCCGTGGTATTATATACATCCGAGAAGTCAATCAATTTACATTCTTGCAGAATACCGTCATAATCTATTTTTGGTCTAAACCTGTTAATTTTGGATGGATTTGAACTACATTGTTCTAAACAAAAAAGTACTGCGTTGTGGTCCGTTACAGTAGAGTCTAGCACCAGGGATATTGATGTTGCCTTAGACCTAAGTATAACGTGGTNTGTGCTCGGCGGCCAACGGTGGTATGTTGTCTTCGGCGAGGATGGCTCGGCCGGTTCGGTCGGCTTGGCGACACGGCACCACGTCGGGTCGGCTTCGGTGTTGCGAGTCGTCCGCTTGTAGTTGACATTGGCGCAGTGGAGCACGAAAACGATGTATTGCCTGAAGAACTCGTGCCGTGGCGCGTATCAGGCGCAGCCACGACGAAAATCTATGCGGTGAAGGTAGTGTATCAGAGACACGGGGCTCCAAGATGCTCGGTGCGACGGAGGGGGTTCTTTCTTCGCCGTTTGGGGCCGCCTGTTCTGTCTTCTCGGCCGGCCAGCTGTCAGCCGGTTCATATAGGAACATCGGTCCCGTGAACCATCGATGATGCTGCGTAAAGTTGACCGGCGCTCCTCTGGTGGCGTCATCGGCCACGTTCTGTTTGGTCGGCACCCACCGCCACTCCTTCGCCTGTGTGTCTTCCTCTATTTCACCCACTCTGTGTGCGACGAAAGGCTTGAAAGAGCGGGGTCCCGCCCTCAGCCACGCGAGTACGGTTCTTGAGTCGCTCCAAAGACTTCTGTCTGCCTTCAGCTGGTATTCGTCGGCGGCGGTGCGGGCTAGGCGGCAGCCCAGCACGGCCGCCTGCAGCTCGAGCCTCGGGATGGACGTCAGCTTGAGGGGCGCTACGCGCGCCCTGGCGGCGGCAAGCGTCACGTTCACTTTTCCGTCTTCATCTTCGGTGCGCCAGTAGACAGCAAAGGCATAGGCCTTCTCGCTGGCGTCCACGAAGGTGTGCAGCTCGCATCGGGTCGCCCGGCTGTAGCCAGGGTGACATCTCGGCATGTTGACGTCCCGGAGCGCAGCGAGTTGCTGACTCATTCGTTCCAACTCGTCGACAGTAGCGGCGGTAGGCGGACATCCCAGTCGACGCCCACGCGCCACGCCTCTTGCAACAGCTGCTTGGCCACGATGGTGACGGGAGAGGCGAGGCTCAGCGGGTCGAACAGCGACATCACTGTCCGCAGAGCCTCCCTCTTCGTCGGAGTTTGCCCGCTGTCGACGTCAGGCACCCGGGCGAAGTTCAAGTTGAAGCCCAAGGTGTCGCAGGTCGGCCTACAGTTGAGACCCAGGACCTTTTCTTCTGTATCTTCTAAGGTGACATCCCGAGTGGCCGACTTCCCCTTCGCATCCGCGTGCACAGTACGCACGTCGGTGCTCACCCGAACGGCTTCTTCAACTGTTATACGATTGTCGCTCTTTTCGAGCCTATACACATGGTGGACGGTGTGCCCCAGGCTCCGATTGCTTGAACCGTGGAGCACCCACTCCAGGGGTGTGCGGGACGCGACAGGTTCGGTCGCGGTTCCTCGACGAACTTCATTGGCTAACAGGAGCTCCCAGTTGTCTTGTCCTATTAAAATTGTGGGCCGCGCCTCCGCGTACCGCACTCGCTCCGCGATGTCTCGTAGGTGTGTTAATATAATTAATATAATTTCACTTTGTTGGATGTAATACTTTACACCCAACAAAGTGAAAGTGTTACACGTAATTATACCTTAATATCTTCTTTAAAGTAAGGGCAGAAGTAGTGTCTTCACACAAATAGTATGCAAAAGATTGTCGCTATGATCCTACAACTTCTCGAACCATTAAAACCAGTGCATGGTCACACAATCTTTTCCTTGACTGGCCGCCAAAATCGACAAAACCGTCGACCCTCTCCTCTGACTCCACAAATGTTAAATGAGGAGTCAAAGCCACTTCACAAAATACATCTCTTCTTTTCGTCCTACGAAGTTATATGTTTCTTAAGTCAAGACAAGACTGGATATTTACATTCTGTGCGATATAAAATGTGGTGTAGGAAAGTTACATCTAAATACCTTTCTGGAAGAATTTATTAAAAGGCACTAGAAGGTGTAAAAAATGTTAAAATTAAATTCATATGTATTATCTGCGATTCTCCCGCTCAGGCTTTTATAAAAGGTATGTTTTGTGAGTTTTCTACATTTTTTGCACTTGAACTCACGCGTAAATAACACATCCAGAAGCTTACAAGCACAAATACCACCATTGCTTGGCGACGCAGAGCATAATATCGAATATTGTTTTGTTAGTTTCGGCCCTAGTTGTTAAGGATTTAAAAAAAAAAGTCCTTTTACTTATGGATTAGTCTATTCTTGAAGGTTTTACATTCATGATAGGTTGAAGAGCAAAAATCGAAAAAAATGAGCTACAACGCGCTCGAGAGTTGGATTTAAGATGGCCGGTGACGCCGCTAGTGCCGTTCTTCGCTTCCTGTATGGAGGCATTAGTGACGTCCGGCGAGGGGTGAAAACTGTTGAATGCGCACTGCGCGAACACTAGTGACTTGTCTGATAGTGACAATTCAAAGTCTTCTAACATTGTAATGTTATTAATCGGGTCAATCTTAAAATTTTCTCTTTTTAAGATCTAAACATCACTTTAAACAGCATCTGAAACCAGCTTAAGGAATCAGAAAAATCTATTTATCAGCTATTTTGTATTTGTGCTAGTTGGGTTGTGTTCTCTATTTCCGAAAAATAGCCCGATGTTTCCTCGTAGCTCGGGCCAGTCTATACGTCTGATCTGTGTGCAAAAAGATCTATTGTGGTTAGGTTTTTGCTTTTTAACAAACTACGTTCTCTATGGGTAATCCATGAGTGGATCACGGAAATTGCTTAAGTAATATTTTATGTCCTTGTATGCGCGGTACTCAAAAATCTTTTTCTGTCTTCTAGCTACATACCTGGCTGTAAATTCCATTCTTTTTGGTTGAATAGAGCTGCGCCTCTCACCCAATATTTTTTCCAAATCGGGAAAAAGTCCTTTCAGACGGTATCGAAGTAGCCATCTCTGAAATATTTTTTAGCCATGTTTGAGAGTTCGGGGTATAGAATTGCCCGCGCCTGCCACCATATCAAAGGACACTCATTCCGAGGAATACTTCTTCTAGATATTACCTCACGGTAATTATGCTGTTGCTAATTATATATAGAGTTCGAAGTAGACGCTGTCGTTGCCACAGTGTTGCCAGAAGGTTACTTTTGTAACCTTTTAGGTTACTTTTGAACTGCATTGGTTACTTTTAGGTTACACTAATGAAAAGGTTACTTTTAGGTGATTTTTCAGAAATTGTAGAATTAACTTTTACAGGTTATTCAGTAAAAAATATTAATAGTGAAAATTTAAAAATTATGTCATAAACTGCATTTAAACATGAATTTGATTTATTATTTGTATTATTTAAAATGAGTTTTAGCGAATGTTTTTCTATAATAAAACGCAAATCCAGGAAACGTTTTTATACGACCGGTCACTTTTCGGTCTTCATGGAATGGTCAAAATTTCGAATTTAGGTAAAAGATAGATTGATGATCAATTATTGTATTCATTTTCGCTCCGCACCCAGTATGAAGGTTACTTTTTATTCAAAAAGGTTACATTTTTTTATATTTTTGGTAATTTCTGACAAGACCCTACTGGCAACACTGCGTTGCCAAGACATCAAAATCTTTCCAAATCCGGTCGTTATCAGCGTCGGTGTCACCAGTAGATATAGCTGACGTCGATTCGCGCTCGTTAGGTAAGGGCAGTGCGCCTGTTTCCATACTTAAGTGTACTAGCAATCGCTGATCAGTTAAAAATTACTTCGAGGGATTTTCTTTACCTCTCGCAGTTCGCCTTGTAGGTTTCAAAAATATAAGGCCACTTGGTCAGTTTTCCACGAAACATCAAATCTTTATTTAAAAAGTTATTTCGTATTCCTTTGATGAGATGAGGATAGTCAAAAATAATATGCAACAAATACCCATTAATTTGGACTTGGTTATCTAAAAAACCGGCCAAGTACGAGTCGGACTCGCGCACCGATGGTTCTGTTTTTTGCCATTTGTTTGTTCTAAAAATTGTTATCTGTCTGAAAATTATTATACAGGGTGTTTCAAAAAAACCCCTAATAACTGAAGGGTATTTAATAAACGTCTATAAAGAGTCCCTTGTTAATTTCTTACAGTCATAGCGACATATTCTAATTTCGGGTAAATTTATGTAAAATAAAAATATCGATTATAAAAATTCCCATCACTAATTTGGGTTCATTGTCCTACCAGGAGTGACCAGGAGCAACTTTCTATGTTCACGCCCCCGGCCACGCCTCATTAAAACATTCTGTGCGCCTAGTATTTACTAGGTATTATTATTTAATACCTACGGAGAAAAAAATACACGCACGTCGTTACAAAACAACAAGCATTCAAAATTATGGTTAGGTACATACCTACAAAAGTGGCTCAAAATGACGTCCTCCTTGCTGCACGCATATTCTTGCCAGTCTTGATATGGCCTGTGTTGCATTTCGCACCATGGTAGGCGTTATTGACGCAAACACAGACCTTACACGCTGTTCCATTTCCTCCACGGTATGGCAATCCGTAAAATAAACTTGGTTTTTCACAAAACCCCACAAAAAAAAGTCCAACGGGGTAATAATATCAGGAGAACGGGCAGGCCAAGGTATCGGACCTCTTCTGCACGCATTTCGTTTGTATTTGGGCGACCACTAGAACCCGATCGATGAAAAGAGCCCGTAGAATGGAGACGTCACCATATCATGGAAACACTGATACGATGGAAGCCGTCGCTGGTCAGCCGCCGGTCTACCTTCGATAAACTGTTCCCGATAAAGTTCACGGGCTTGAGTTAAATTTCCATCAGCTCGACCCACACACAACATCATCTCATAATATTCGGAATTAGAAAACATTGTAGCAAAACAACACAAAACACAAAGCTTTCGAAAGTAGTTAAACGATAGGAAAACACACCGATCACGCACGAAGCATAATGAACGACTAAATCAAAGAAGAGCCGACGGCCGGTGTCGCGATCTTTCGGCGCTTCCGCACAATGCAAAGTGGTGCGAACGGGATCGTGCCACATGCCAAATTTTTGCAACTTCTTATTATGACAATGCAACATTTCAACAACATTTTAACAATGATTTTAGTACGCTAATTTTTATTTCGCAGGTAAAGGAATGTCGCAATGTCGTTTATGTACCTATTATGTCTACCAAGTTACGTCTCATTTTAAAATAGAAGAAATGTTAATGAATTCTCAGATTTATTTTCATATCAACATTCTAAAGCGTCCCTTAATAATTTTCACTTTTACAAAAGCAGCCTAAGACTGATTTACCTGTATTAAGTAGTTAAGTAGGTAACTAAATTTTAACTTAATTTTAAGTCTATGTCCAAATGTCTCATAATTAGTATGAAACTGCTTATCAAAAGGTGTCAAGTGACAAGCCCCACCCACCAACTTACCCGAAAAATGAAGGTAAAATTTAGTTACCTACTTAACTACATAATACGTGAAAATCATCCTTTAAGACTTAATGATAGATCGCCCGGTGCTTTGTCCTGCTGGAAGCTCTTCTGGAAGGACTGGTCTTTTGTTCTAAACGTCCTGCCAGAAGATTATCGCAAGTCCTGCCCGCAGTACGCAATTTGTACGTGTTTGCTTGCTGGTCCTTCCAGCAGTACGGTGACCTTCAAATTTGAACTCATCCTCACCAGAAGTAGTAAACACTTGGTTAGTGTTTATTNGGTACTCCTTTGTAAAACTTGATGTGAACGCCTCTGTAGCTACTAATATCTAACTATTCGAATTCCGAACCTTGATGATCTTGTGTGGGAATCGAACCCGCGTTTTCCGCAATCCTGGTGGCTAACCTTTGAGCTACCGAAGCCCCAATAATGGACCGAACTAATCTTTAACCTCCTTATTAATAATATGATAAAACATGCAGCGTTCTAACTATTCGAATTGTTAGACAGTATTGTACTAGATAATAATCCTAAACGTGTTTACACGGGAACAATAATTGCATATCTGTTAATAATAAACTTTCCTCCTAAACTTACTGCAACATCAGAAACATTTTTCGTGTAAAGGTCAGTTTTTTTNATTGACCAGTCCCCGAAAGCAGCGCCTGTTCACAGACATGACGAGAGAACCAGCCATCGCTTCACTCGACCATATTAGAGGGAATGTAACGTATATGATAGGACGTACACGTGCAGTCTTTGATGTCAGGATGAAAAATAATGTGCAAATACCACCATTACCACTTATCTCATTACAAAAGGGAAAAGGGTTCAGAAAACCATTCAAATTCAAATTCAAATTCAAATAATTTATTTGTGAAACACAGGTAAGCAGTATGATGTAGGTACAAACAAGATATGTGTTCAAGCCGTGATCAGCCTTGTCGGCATACAAATGTTAAAGCGTGATTTTAAGTATAATATTATGTTAAAGAAAAGTAATAATGAGCAAATTAATAGATGACTAACTTGATCCAATGATATGATTATCAATATTATTCAGGACTCTAAATCATATTTAAGTCAGATCTTGATGATAAAGAGAAAAGTCTTCAAAGTTCTGTAGCAGTCACTTAAGTGCTTATTACACTACGCGGTATTCAGACAGTCTTACTAAGACTGTCTTAAAATCTAACTAGACAAGCTCGCTATTACACTGTGCTGAATATCGCATGCTAACTCATTTGCAAGGCGTACGTAGTCGGTGACGGTTGTCGCGCGATGGGAAAACTTTCAAAGCACCAGAAAATCGCCATAGCTCTTGCCGCATCTATTAATTTAAATACAAAAAAGAAAAGAAAAATATGGGTGAAAGAGTATTTACTTTTACGAGAAAAATTATCAAATATGCAAATACTGAGTGTTCTGGAACCATGTGACTTAAGAAACTACCTTAGAGTAGGAGTTGCCGAGTTTGAATGTCTTTTGAAATTAGTTACTCCGTATATTCAAAAAGAAGATACGATTCTTAGACAAAGTGTCAGTGCTAAACAAAGATTGGTAGTTACTTTAAGATTCCTGGCAACGGGCAACTCCTATCAAGACCTAAGGTTCAGCTCTTTGATATCGCAACCTCTTTTATCGTCAATTATACCAGAAACATGCCGGGCTATCTACAAATGCTTAAAACATTTGATCAAGGTGAGTAAAACCACTGTATATTATTTTTCAATTTAACATTTATTTTTCAAATCAAAATTCAAAGTTCAATTTAACATTTATTTTTCAAATCAAATCAATAACAAAAACAATCAGTAAATTAAACAGAAAATTATTCTTTTTTCGGCTTGAAAATCAAAAAATCTTTCATTACATTGGCACTCCCTTCTACTATAGACGGGGAAACAGTTGACCCTGATTCATTTTCAATGTATTCTAAAAAATCTTCAGGATTGTTGACAGTGATTCTCGAGGGAAATGAATGTTGTGGTGACTGGATTGCTGGTTGTGGTGATTGAATTATGTGTTGTGACGACTGGATTGTGTGTTGTGACGACTGGATTGTGTGTTGTGGTAACTGAATTGTTTGTTGTGGCGATTGGATTGCTTGCTGTGAAGACTGGAATGGTTGTGGAAACTGAATTGGATGAGGCGGATGATACTGTGTAGTAGATGATGATGGAGGACTCGGTGTGGGTGATGAATAATTGCGTGATGATGGACGTTTGTGTGGCAACTTAGGGGAAATAGTAGACACTGATTCATTTCCAATGTATTCTGAAAAATCGTCAGGATTGTTGACAGTGATTCTCGAGGGAAATGAATGTTGTGGTGACTGGATTGCTGGTTGTGGTGATTGAATTATGTGTTGTGACGACTGGATTGTGTGTTTTGGTAACTGAATTGTCTGTTGTGGCGATTGGATTGCTTGTTGTGACGACTGGAATGCTTGTTGTGGAAACTGAATTGGATGAGGCGGATGATACTGTGTAGTAGATGACGATGGAGGACTCGGTGTGGGTGATAAATAATTGCGTGATGATGGACGTTTGTGAGGCAACTTAGGGGACTGTCGGTTGTATGGTGACGGGGATGAATAACTTGATGCTGGTGATTGGATGAAGGGTATCTGATAGTTGTATCTGTTCAATGTATGTCTTATTTCCGATGGCGTGACGAGTAGACAAGAATCTTCAGAAAGTCGTCCAAGTTTAGCATTAAAAATTACATCGGATATAATTTTTTGAGTAAATATCAGTTGTGTTCCATTTATATCCTTTAACTGCAAGCCTACAGACTTTCCAAATACTTCCCAGTCTTCTTCTTCTTTATTTGATAACATTACTTCAGCAGATTTGATAATTTTTTCTTGTTTTTGTAGAAGTGTTTCTTTCTTTTTTTTAACGCTATGTCCTCTAGACGTTGAAGGAATTGATCCTTGAATTTGCTGGCTTGAAATGTCTTCGTCAGATGAGTTTGAGCCCTAAAAATACAATCAAATTAATTTTTTTGTTCCAGATACCTGAAAATGAGACAGAATGGACAGAAATTGCTGAGGAATTCGAAACAAAATGGAATTTCAGTCACTGTATTGGATCATGTGATGGGAAGCATATCGCCATCGAAAAACCCCCCGGAAGTGGCTCTTTGTTCTATAATTATAAGGGATTCTTCAGTATAGTGCTGTTTGCTGTTGTAAACGCTAACTACGAATTCATGTATATACACACAGGCACCAATGGATCCGTTGCAGATGGAGCAATTTTAAAATGTACAAAATTTTATAAGAAAATGATGAACAATTCTTTAAATTTGCCATCTCCATCTCCACTACCAGGCACAAACGAAATTGTACCATACGTGTTTCTGGGGGATAGTGCATTCGCATTAAATAAAAATTTAATGAAACCGTTTCCTTTTAAAAATATTAATCGTTCACAAAGGATTTTTAATTATCGATTATCGCGAGCCAGAAGAGTGGTTGAAAATGCCTTTGGCATATTAAGTTCCCGTTTCAGAATACTGCGTAGACCACTTGATCTAGATCTGGACAATGTGGATGCTGTAGTGTTGGCATGTTGCGCTCTGCATAACTTTCTGAGGAAACGAGTACCAACTTATATATCTCATTCTAATATTGACTCAGAAAATATAAGACTGGGTACGTTTCGCGAAGGAGATTGGAGACAAACCTCTGCACCCTTAGTTTCATTACAGCGTTCATCAAATAGGCAGCGTAATGAAGATGGCAACATTGTTCGCAATAAATTCATGGACTATTTCAATTCTGTTGGACGTGTTAGTTTCCAAGACCGAATGATTGATGTTGTACCACCATAATATTTGTTGTACCTACCATTTTATCTGATTAAATAATGCTTAGTAAAAAATAAAATACAGGTTGTTTCATAATATCCTAAAAAATGAAAGGGGTCAATGTACTGCACTTATGTACCTACGAACAACTTTTACCATCCAACTTCGAAATCACGAAAAAAAACAGCTGTTCCATACATATCGGGTGATTGGTCTTGAATTTTGAATATTTCTATGAAACCTGTTTTTTATTCGTGATTTCGAAGTTGGTATAATGAATTGAATACAATTTACCTCCTCATCTTCGATACTCTCTGGTGTTATGCGACACGGTTTACTCCTTGACCCAAGAAAGTTTAAGGCGTCGTAATACCATAAAGTTGGTACATACGCGTCATCTGTCCCTGCACCAGTTTGTTTGGAAGCATTTACCTGTAAAAACACCGCATTTCGAAGCTTGAAACGATTTAGGCCCAGTTCAATTCAAATCAAAAGTTATAAAGGGGGTTATTACACTATTTTGACAGGACACACAGTCGATGTACATTGCGTGAATCGAAATCGTTTGACAGATGACGCCATACAAAGAAAATCGAATTAGGCAATGTACGTCAAAGTTTTTGAAATAACGGTCAAATTTCATTTCGGCAAAATAGTGTAATAGCCCCGCAGGTGCGCTTTGTCGTAGGTATATGGAGGTACCTACGTATTTATTGGGACGAACAAAAGACATAACAAAGGAATTAAGTAGGTACATACCTTAGCCAATTCTTTATTGTAATTGGTGCGCATATTCATCAACTTCTTTTTTATTGTTTTGACTGTAGCTTTTTCATCAAAGTTTTTATAAATTTCCAACAACACCCGGAATCCTTCAGTACGTAGTGGTTGATTAGAATAATCTTTATGACTTTTCTGCCATAAATATGGCATGTCTCGGTACAAATCGAGTACATTAAAAAGCACTTCTTTCTCTTTCGAACAAGCCATGGTGCACGCGGCCACAGCAAACAAACATACGAGCGACTTTGCTCAGCGGCTGCCGCGCGCTGACTGAACGGTCTAAGCGTGCTAAGTCTTATTACACTACGCGGTATTCAGCAAGTAAGCATGGTCGAACCCATTCGATCGGTCTAATTAGACAGGCTAACTTGCTAACTCTTATTACATTATGCTAAATCTTAGTAAGACTGTCTGAATACCGCGTAGTGTAATAAGCCCTTTAGGAGAGTCTTAATGGGCAACCAATGAAGCCATTAAAACAATAAAATCTTTTGTAGGAATTATTTCCGATTTAAAAGCTAATTCTACTGGACTATCTTTCCATTTAATATTTTAAACTATTATGTTGCATTTTTACTATAAACTCGTGTAACCGAGCCGAAATGTCGGGAGGGTAAATATTTTATTTACCGTTAAAATAGATATTGAAGTGATAATCTTTCCATTTGTAAAAAGATTAAACCAAAGATAAATACACTCGCGAGCAAAAGTATGGAATCACTTACATGAAGTTGTTTCCACGCGATCTTGTGTACTAACGAATTTGTTAGGAACAAAAAAAGTGGCACCATTTTAAAGATCAAACTTTTATGTTTAAATTGATACCAAATTCATTTAAATCACACCAGTATTTAAAAAGATATCCCGGCTGATGTGAAGAAGTAACGAAAAAGACATGTATGAACTGTTTGATACGTCGCGAGTTGCGGCCTATTTACCCCCTATAAAAGCACGCGTTTTCGGATTTTTGCTTTCACACGTTGATTCATACACATCTCCGCTTCTTTTGACACTTTACCTGGAATTCTACACCTTCAGAAGCAGCACAAATCGTTGCACTATTGCAAGAAGGGCTCAGCCAGCGGGCTGTCGCACGTCAGCGCCACATAAGCCAGTCCTGGGTTTCGAAAGTTTTAAGACGCTTTCGGGAGACTGGTGGCTTTATCCCGAGACCAAGTTCTGAACAGCGCCGGTGCACATCGCAGAGGGAAGACCGTTTTTTCATGTCAACTTCTCTATGAAATCGTCATTTGACTGGAATCGACGTCCAGCAAGAGCTCAGAAATGTTCGTAGGATAGCTGTTAGCGAGTAGACAGTTTACATAGTTATTTGATTTTTAGCGTTAAGAGTCGCATCTCAAACTAATAATATATAATTAATAATTTTCAGAGTAGACAGTTTGTCTAAGACATAAGCAATAGTGTTTAACTTCAAAAAGGCCTGCCACAGGCTCGAAACTGACGGCAGGTCACCGGCACGCTTTCAATTTGCTCGTAGGTACACATCTCGATGTTAAGTCGAGCAAGACACCCCCATAAGCCACTGTTTCAGCGAACCAGCACTGCACAAATCGCTCCTCAGGCCGCCTATAAACCCGACCTCTTCGACTGCTGCCCTGCAAACACAGTTTGCATTCATCGGAGAACAGAATTCGCCTCCATTACTCGCCTTCCCATTTTGCCGTAAAAAAATCTATAGATAGTCTCAAAAAATTAATAAGAGATCAGAGGTGGCTACTTACTACGTACCACTTTGGAAGTCTATCTTTCAAACGATTGACTTTTTAGGAACCTCAATGTAATTTTTAGACTTATCTATAGATTTTTTTAGTTTTAGGTTACATGCATTTTTATAAAAAAAAAAGCCCCTTTTAATATTTTACTTTTTTATTTTTGTATAACAAAATGAAAAACAATTGACGAAACTGAATAATGGAAATTCTTGTGATTAAAAAAAAAAACAAAAACTCATTAATTACTTAACAAAAATCCAATTATATTAATTTAATTACTCGTTCTTCTCTTATTTGATTAAATGACAAATGTGAGCCCAGCCACTTAAGTAGGATTTCAAATCCATCCCATTTTTATCCGATAAATGCCGCTCGATTCTTTGTTTATACCCTGTTTCACTGCGCTTACGCTTAGGCATTGGCTCCGCGGATTTGATTTTCTCGATAACACTTTTAGTGTGATTTTGTTCCGTTATGAATTCCTGCATAGTTAAAAATATATTCCATTTTCGGCGACTCAATAATGAGTTCCAGCGGTTGTGCCAAGACTCAAGGGCATTTTGCGTTAAGGGCACATGTTTTATAATACTGTCGTTTACTGACCACATGCGAGGTGGGAAACGAGGTTGACGTTGTACAACTGTCATAATATTTTTCTTTTAATTAAATTGACTTCACTGAATGCCCTTTCACAGTTTGCACTGGAATGGGGTAAACACAACACATTTATGGCAAACTGAGCCAGTGTTTTGTATTCTTCAAATTGTTTTTAATTACACCCCAAAACTCTTCGGTATTCATAGAAATTAAATCAATTTTATCAGCAATACTCGGAAAACTGCGCCATTCATCATCTATTACCTGCATCTCTCTGGTTTTATTATTCTCGGAAGAAGTATCATGAGTGGCTGTAACGTCGGTACCTTTTTCCTGTAGTTACTGGAAGCAGCATTGGTAGGTTCAAGGCAGTCCAGTTTTGATAAAATGGGGTCATCTAAATCATATCTTTTTTAAATTTCTTTAGCACTTGTGATTAAAAAATGCCGACAGCGTTGAAAAAACTCCTTGGAAGCAGTACTCTGGCAACGAAGTTCAGGCTGTGTAATTTTGTTCATCACTTGAATTCCCAGATACATTTGTTCATCTTTCAACCATTTGTCTTGTCGTTCAAGGTCAATAGCAGACAGCTCTGTTTTGTTGACATAATCACGATCCAAAATACACAGCAAAATGTCTTTATACATTTCGCGCACCTTTTCGTTTAACGATGTGATCACTACTTTTTCCGATTGAAAAAGTTTGTTGAAGTTGGTGAATAATAAAGTTGTATGAATGGATCATTCAAACTTTTGAATATCAGTTCGGTTGAAAGAAGACGTTCATTCAGCCAGAAAACAGTAAAGAACAATTTTAATGCATCCCATTGTTCTAACCCAATATACAACATTGGCTTTTTTACTATTAAACGCAAAGTATTCTGCAAACATTGTTTTTTTTTTCAATATCTTCATTTGTGTATGCAATGCTTGTACTGGATTCAGACACCTTTGATGGAGTACCTGCAAGTGATGAATCCTGTTGTAGAGGATTTTCTTTATATAAAGATACATCACTCTCTGATTTTTCATCATCCATAAAGTTAATCATTTTCTTTATATTAATAACACCAGATGCAGAGGGCTTTTCATGACAAAAGTTTGGATTAATCTTGAATGGAGAAGTGTAACTAGACACAAGAGTAGGTTTGAGAGGTGAAACAGCTGTATCTCTTATTATGAACTTAGTTTGCACCGCCTTGCTTCTAATGTGCACTTTATTTAAAGAATGACACTGGACTGATTTTTCAACTGTTACCACAGGTTCTGTTATTGTACTTTTGTAAATATATATATATATATATATATCAATTTATGAATAATGCAGAAATTGAATGATATTACTGTATTAACTGGGATAAGGCTCTGCTGGAAGTGTGAAAATAATTTCAGTACAATTTAAAACTAAGTTTGCATAGGTACCTTTTGTACAAGCTTCAACTACAGTAGCAGTAGGCATAGGATCATCACAGGTTATTGTAGGTAGGTAGGTAGGTTGTTGAATGTCTTCACATTGTGCAAAATTGTTATCATTAAACGTTTTATCAAATGTGTATCCAGAAACAACAGGGGTATCAATTTCTCTGCAGTGTTGTTTATATGCGTTGAATACATCAGTTAGAGTACGGTAAACAGGCTCTAAGTATAATTTTGTTGTTTCTTTACTTGCATAATGAGAAGGCATTTTTGGTATTTTTTTTCAAGTAATCGTTTAAAACTATTTTTTTGCATTTCTTATTCCACTTCCCCCTGCCTGATCAGTGTCTTGACTTAGTTGAAAGTATTTGTTTTGGCCCACATCTGAACAGTAGTAGACTTCAATGATAAATCATTCAAAAACATTTCGACGGGTCCGTAGAACGAACACGTAATGTTACTATAAGACGAATTATAGTTTTTTGATCAAATGTAATAAGTATCACAGTAGCTATATAGATGTGTAATTATTTTTTAAATATCATTCTTACTAACTAATTGAACATCACCTTATCTATACTTATAATAAATCTGTAGAGAGGTCAATTCTGTACATGAAATATATTTTCAAAATAACTATCAGGGGGTGATTAGTGATCGATACTGATGCCAAAAATGCAATNGGTTAACCAATTTTGGCAATAACTGACAGCCAAATGTATTTTTGTGTGAATAGTTTTTTTATCTCATTCTATGATATATCAGGAACGTGTTATATATAAAATAAATTATTTCTAATGCTTTCGCTGCCCTCAGGATTTTTTAAATTAAGATGTATCACCCGTGTTACGATGCCAAGAAAAGGGATAAACGTGAAAATAAAGTTGGTTTCATGGGCTTGTTAAATAATGTGTATGATATTATGAACACGTAAGTGATTATGGTGTAATTGTGTATGAAAGTGTTTGTTTACATCTCTGCTGGATTCTAAAAAAATCAAGGTATAGATGGCAAATATGTTGCGCTTATCGTGTTGAAATCGAGCATCACAGACATTCAGAAACACATAAGGACACTTGTAACGCGGCAACGCTATTTCATAACGTTTGTAACGTTATCGCGCGCGAACAACGCAACGTTAGTGTTATCACGCCATCTCGTCTAATAGCGAATCACGCGGAAGTATGGTGCCGCGCCNGCATGCCAAATTTCAAGCATCTAACTTAAGCGGTTTAGATTTTTCATACAAAAGGATTTTTCCGCTAATTCCCGTTCCCGTGGTAATTTCGGGAATTCCTTTCTTAGTGCACCTCTACGGTACCTAAACTACGTCCCTTCCAAATTTCAAGTGCCTACGTTTAGCCGTTTAGGCTGTGCGTTGATCTGTCAGTCAGTCAGTCAGTTTCTCCTTTTATATATTTAGATAGAAGATAAGAAGAAGATTAGATCCCACCAAAAACATTCTGTAAAAAACTAGCCAAGTCTCGATGAAGCTGCTTGTTTATCTCTAAAAAGTAATGAAATCTAGACAAAGTCGTGCCAAGTCTATGGTTCTTTACTGCGATTTCTTTATTATTATAGTTAAATGTTGTGTGACTTGGCCGTTGAAGGGTACAAAACTAGGTGCTCCATGACACCATTGCACCAATCTGTTGCCAGAACCGCTACTAGGGTTTCTGCTCGAGCTTTCTCGAACTCGAGAAAACTCGAGAAATT